GCACACATATGCTCGTAACATTGATACATGAAAAACATTATGCACGCTTGCCAACTCAGGAGGTAAAGCTAATCGATAAGATACTTTTCCAACTCGTTCAAGAACTTCGAACGGACCAATATAGCGAAGATGCAACTTTCCTTTCTTCCCAAAACGAATAACCTCTCTCATGGGTCGAACTTTTAAGAAAACTTTATCTCCTACCTCAAATTTCATTTCTCGCCTATGCTTATCTGCTGAAGACTTCTGCCGACTTTGAGCAGTCTTATGCCTTTCTCGAATCCAAGCTACTTGCTCAACAGTTTCTTCAATCATCTTTGGGCCAAGTACTTGCTTCTCTCCAACATCGTCCCAATAAATAGGTGAACGACACTTGCGGCCATAAAGTGCTTCATAGGGAGCCATTCCAATTGATGAATGATAGCTGTTGTTGTAAGCAAATTCCACTAACGGCAACCACTTCTCCCATTTGGAACCTCTATCCAGAATACAAGCTCTGAGCATATCTTCAAGCGTCTGGATCGTCCTTTCTGACTGGCCATCTGTCTCCGGATGATAAGCCAAACTGAAACTTAACTGCGTGCCCATTGCCTTATGCAAACTCTCCCAAAATTTACTTGTGAATTTGGAATCTCGATCAGATATTATTGTAACAGGCACTCCATGGAGTCGAATAATTCCACGAGTATAAATTTTTGCTAGCTTGTCCATCGACATGGTCATTGATACAGGCATAAAACGAGCGACTTTCGTCAACCTGTCTACTACTACCCAAATCGCGTCATGTTGTTCAGATGACTTAGGTAACCCTGTAACAAAATCCATGTTAACTTCTTCCCACCTCCATTTAGGAATCTCTATTGGTTGCAACAGGCCTAATGGGCTCTGGTGCTCGGCCTTAACTTGCTGACAGACCAAACACTTCTTCACAAAATCTGCTGCATCTCTCTTCATCCCTTTCCACCAAAACGACTTTTTCAAGTCATGATTTATTTTGGTGCTTCCAGGGTGAGCTAAATATGGTGCACTATGTGCTTCAGTCAAGATCTCCTTCCGCAAGGCCTCGACTTTTGGAACAACAATCCTTCCTCTGAATTCCAATGCTCCATCAGAACCTTGGTAAAAACCTTCTACTCTTCCAGCTTGAACTTTTTCTTCCATCTTCCGAACAAATTGATCGAAAGATTGCTCCTTCCGAATTCTTTCTCTCAGCATCGGCTGAACTCTCGTTGAGTTAACCCTTCCAGTAACCTCCTTAGGAAGTGTCCTGACAACTTCAATCTGCATCCGAGCAAACCCTTTAATATGTTCATTCTGTTGAGTGATACAACATGTCAATCCACCGTTCACCTTACGGCTTAGGGCATCTGCTACCACGTTCGCCTTCCCCGGATGATATTGGATAGTGCAATCATAATCCTTCACAAGCTCCAACCATCTTCTTTGGCGCATATTGAGCTCCTTCTGAGTAAATATATATTGCAAACTCTTGTGATCAGTGAATATTTCACACTGGCCACCATAGAGATAATGCCTCCAAATCTTGAGTGCGTGCACTACTGCTGCCAACCCTAAATCATGAGTTGTATAATTTTTCTCATGCGGTTTTAATTGTCGCGACGCATATGCAACAACTTGACCATCTTGCATTAGTACACATCCAAGACCCATTTTCGAAGCATCACTATAAATAGTGAAACTTCTACTAGAATCAGGGATAATCAGCACTGGGGTTGATGTAAGCTTCTTCTTAAGCTCTTGGAAACTCTCCTCACAACGATCGGACCACTTGAACTTCACAGATTTTCTCGTTAAATTTGTCAAAGGGAGAGCAATCTTTGAAAACCCTTCGATAAATCTACGATAATAACCTGCTAATCCGAGAAAACTTCGAACTTCTGATGGATTCTTCGGTACTGACCAATTCTTAATTGCAGCAATCTTTGCTGGATCCACTTCTACACCTTTCTCAGTGATAATATGGCCTAAGAATGCCACTTTCTTCAGCCAAAACTCACACTTAGAGAATTTGGCATACAACTTCTCATTTCTAAGGGTACCAAGAACTACCCTCAGATGGTGTTCATGCTCTTCTTGACTCTTGGAATAGACCAAAATATCATCAATGAAAATGATGACAAATTGATCTAAATACTTG